CAAAAACATGTAATTAATCGGTGAGGCCAAGTGAAAAGTCATGACGCATTATTAGAGCGATTAATTTAGATTATAAAATCAAATGTTTTAAATATACTTTAAGTAATGGACAACGGTTGTGCAATCTGGTGTCTGGAAGCCCTTTACAAGCGTGCACTTTACTAACTTTTCATAAAGTACAACAAACCTTCACCCAAAGTGACCATCTCGTGGCTAATCTGGCGCAAAGTTTGTTGTGGGAATGGTCCAAGTTGGTCCTGTTCCATAATGAAGTGGAGCAGACGCCAGCAGACGCCTGTCTCGCCTACAGCCCCTCACACCAGCGGCTACAGAACAATAACGTTCTTGCCCAAGGTTTATGAGGCCAGAAAAATTAACGTCGGGTGGAACAATGAGGCGTTTTATTACAACAAACCAATACCATAAATACACTACATATCTGTCCAGCATAGCCAGCCTTTATGCCAGGCATATCTAGAAGGAAAACAATATTACGCATATTTATACACAAAACATACTCTTCCCCCCCCCCCCTCCCCCCTCGAGTGTGTGGACATTTTCTGTAGTTTAGTTTCTCTTTGTATATTATGATAATTATCTTTTGTGCTGTTTATTGGTACACATTTGCATACTTCGCTATTTATTGTTTTTCCCTTTATAAAACCATTTTTGAATAGTTTTTGCATATATTCTTTATTCTGCACATTTCCCCGTTTTTCCTTCTAAGTATTAGTTCCTTTGAACTAATCGGTTTCTGGTTATTGTTTCGTGTCTGAAGTAATCTCCCGTCATATTTCTTGAGACCAGGAATGTTCCTGAATGTTCATGTGTTGAACATCCTGGAGCTGGGATGTTCTTGAGTCTGTGTGTGTATCCCTTGAGCTGGGGAGACATTAAACACATCTGTTTATAATGCATCCAGAAACCTCTTACAGCCGAGGTTTATTTTTGTTTTCCTTTTCAGGACGCTAAATATGGTTTATTTTATACTGAATTTGTTCATGTGTACACAGTTTGTTTACATCATCGACGGCCTTGTGATTCTTTTAACATGTTTTTTTCGCATTTTCCTAACCTGATAATCTATTGTTTTCTGTTTCGATAGAAACAAAAAATTGGAGTGGTAGGTGGTATCCAAGGTGGCGTCCAATGTGGTATCCAAGGTGGCGTCCAAGGTGGTATCCAAGGTGGCGTCCAAGGTGGTATCCAAGGTGGCGTCCAAGGTGGCGTCCAAGGTGGTATCCAAGGTGGCGTCCAAGGTGGTATCCAAGGTGGTATCCAAGGTGGCGTCCAAGGTGGTATCCAAGGTGGTATCCAAATCCAAAAGGATTAATACACGATATGTCAGTTCACCGTTATTACACACGGGCTTTATCTTAAGTGCAGAGTGTTGAGTTCTACAGTTAATATATTTGTTATTATTATTAAAGTGTTCATTTTCATGTTCTTCCTCTCATTGGTGAGAATATTGTGTAATACTTATGCTGGGTGACCGCACCTCCAGCAGGTCTGGGATTGTCCTGTACAGTGTGATCACTTTATACCGTACAACACTCTTAGGAGCTTATGATTGTAAACAGGGTTAAGACGGAAGAGATTTCAAAATAGGGAACATAGAAAGTGTATGGAACTGGATGACAGACCCACTTGTATACCAGAAGCACAGATATAATTACACACCACAACAGGGATACAATTACGACAGGCAGCAACCGTACAACAATCAGCACTGGTCAGAACAAACATGATATGACCAAGCATCATGGACCTGCCAGAAAAGTCTCCCAGTCAAACTACCCCAAATAGAGTAACCTCATTCATCTTGGCCAACATTCAAGGACTAGAAACAAAGAGTAAAAAAAAACTAATTACCGTTCATAAATGGCCTCACTGAGTAAAATGCAGTATTGGGAGCTTTCACAGAAACCCATGGAGGAGAGTTCTTGGACAGTGGGATCTGGATACCAGGATATAATCTATATAGGTGTGACCGGTGTGAAGACGAACAGTCTCGTGGACGACGAACAGTCTCGAGGACGACGAACAGTCTCGAGGACGACGAACAGTCTCGTGGACGACGAACAGTCTCGTGGACGACGAACAGTCTCGTGGACGACGAACAGTCTCGTGGACGACGAACAGTCTCGTGGACGACGAACAGTCTCGTGGACGACGAACAGTCTCGTGGACGACGAACAGTCTCGTGGACGACGAACAGTCTCGTGGACGACGAACAGTCTCGTGGACGACGAACAGTCTCGTGGACGACGAACAGTCTCGTGGACGACGAACAGTCTCGAGGACGACGAACAGTCTCGAGGACGACGAACAGTCTCGAGGACGACGAACAGTCTCGAGGACGACGAACAGTCTCGAGGACGACGAACAGTCTCGAGGACGACGAACAGTCTCGTGGACGACGAACAGTCTCGTGGACGACGAACAGTCTCGTGGACGACGAACAGTCTCGAGGACGACGAACAGTCTCGTGGACGACGAACAGTCTCGTGGACGACGAACAGTCTCGTGGACGACGAACAGTCTCGTGGACGACGAACAGTCTCGTGGACGACGAACAGTGGACTCAGTCTCGTGGACGACGAACAGTCTCGAGGACGACGAACAGTCTCGAGGACGACGAACAGTCTCGAGGACGACGAACAGTCTCGAGGACGACGAACAGTCTCGAGGACGACGAACAGTCTCGAGGACGACGAACAGTCTCGAGGACGACGAACAGTCTCGAGGACGACGAACAGTCTCGAGGACGACGAACAGTCTCGAGGACGACGAACAGTCTCGAGGACGACGAACAGTCTCGTGGACGACGAACAGTCTCGTGGACGACGAACAGTCTCGTGGACGACGAACAGTCTCGTGGACGACGAACAGTCTCGTGGACGACGAACAGTCTCGTGGACGACGAACAGTCTCGTGGACGACGAACAGTCTCGTGGACGACGAACAGTCTCGTGGACGACGAACAGTCTCGTGGACGACGAACAGTCTCGTGGACGACGAACAGTCTCGTGGACGACGAACAGTCTCGTGGACGACGAACAGTCTCGTGGACGACGAACAGTCTCGTGGACGACGAACAGTCTCGTGGACGACGAACAGTCTCGTGGACGACGAACAGTCTCGTGGACGACGAACAGTCTCGTGGACGACGAACAGTCTCGTGGACGACGAACAGTCTCGTGGACGACGAACAGTCTCGTGGACGACGAACAGTCTCGTGGACAACGAACAGTCTCGTGGACGACGAACAGTCTCGTGGACGACGAACAGTCTCGTGGACGACGAACAGTCTCGAGGACTGTAACGAGGCCAACGTTTAACCTCACTTACTGGTTAAATGCTGGTCGTTAATAATTTAATACACACAGAAACCAGAGTTCTACTGTGCAACCTTCAGTTCAACTCCTCAAGACCTAAACGTTTGACCGTTTAGACGTTACGACAAGAGGATACTGTACCCTTCTATAACACTACACTGCACGACGAACGTGTAGCTACACTACACTACCTTCTATGTTACACTGCAAACTGAATCACGCCGCCACCACCACCTGCTAACCCACCGAGTAATTCCCCCACACTGACAGTGAAGCACGATACCGTCAATTAGGTATAATCCCCCGAAAATGGATCCCCAGTTATTGGAAAAGGGCGGAGGGGATTTACGTTAAGTGGGGAAATTAAATTAAGGTAAAAAGGAGTTATCTTAGGTAACCTCTGAGCACCTCTGCTCTTCAACGGGGGTATTCTGCACATCCTGCCATGCCTTCTGGTCTCATGTGCTAAATAAATGCTTGCAGAGGATGCTTAGTCTCAAGCATGGGGCTTGAACACATTAACAGAAAGTATAAAATACATGTTGGGGGAAAAATTCCTCTAAACACCATAAATTCTAGACAAAATTTATTAAATCAAAGGTTATTAATAAAAAATAAAATAATACTTCCTAAGCTGAATACTTTCCTAACTGAATATCTTCCTAACTGAGGCAATAACTACACAAAAATGCTGTGGACTTTACACCGTAATTTAACCAGAACACAGAACATTTACCTTAAATACCACAGGCAGACCAGTTGGTCAGTCTTGCCCTCTGAGAGATGTTGACCCCAGCATGACCTCAACACACACTAACTAACCTCTCCATACTGACCTCGTGGGGGGCTGACCCCACGAGGTGAGTTGCCAAATTAATCTTTGAAAAAGATTATTAACTAAAATGCAGTATTTGTCACTAAATGTGACTTTATTATCCCAAAACAATTGGGAATAATCAAGATAGGAGAGCCAGGCTAATTACAATATTCAGTAGCACTTGTATTTCACTAATTTACATGATTTAAACAAGTTGGGGAGGTACTTATTAACCAAGTACGAAATATTTCTTACATATTTCATATTCTTACTGATGTCAAATTCTTCTTTAATAACATACAAGACTTATTCTTTAATCTCAATTGACGTTAATTTTAACATAAGAACTTAATCACGATTGATTATTCCTACTAATTCTGTAATACATTCATAAGTCTCGTAGTTCGATGACTCGACACGGGGGGGTGAGTGGCGCTCCTGTCTCCTACCCTATGAGTTCACAGCCCTGTGGTGGGGGGGTGGGGGTGGGGACCCTTCCCTAGCCAGTCAGGTCATTACCACTCACTACCAACATTTAATGTTACATCTATGCTCACCTGTACTCGTCTGACCTGGGAGCACATGAGAGGGGGGTGTACTCACCTGTACTCGTCTGACCTGGGAGCACATGGGAGGGGGGGGGGGGTGTACTCACCTGTACTCGTCTGACCTGGGAGCACATGGGAGGGGGGGTGTACTCACCTGTACTCGTCTGACCTGGGAGCACATGGGAGGGGGGGGGTGTACTCACCTGTAGTTGTCTGACCTGGGAGCACATGAGAGGGGGGTGTACTCACCTGTAGTTGTCTGACCTGGGAGCACATGGGAGGGGTGGGTGTACTCACCTGTAGTTGTCTCGCTGGAGCTCGTAGGTCTCGCCCAGGAGAGGGTTGAAGGGCTTGCCAACACGCTCCCAGTTGGAGGCCAGACCGCTCACAGCGAAGGCCGTCACGTACTGTGGAGATGACGCCCATGTTAGTGGTCAAGTGGGGGGGGGGGGGGGGAGGGGGGGGAAGAGTGATTGGGAAGTAGGGGGTGGAGTGGTGGTGGTGAGTACTCACCTAATTGTGTTTGCGGAGGTTGAGCTTCGGCTCTTTGGTCCCGCCTCTCAACTGTCAATCAACTTGTGTACAGATTCCTGAGCCTACTGGACTCTACGGTGTGGGTGTGGGTGTGGGTGTGGGTGTGGGTGTGTGTGTGTGTGTGTGTGTGTGTGTTCGTTCTACAGATTTTCAGTCCCCGACAAAACTAATTATAGACCAGGGGACCCACTGAAAAAGATGTATCAAAGCCCCTCGTTCTGGCTAGATCTGTAATTCCTCCAGTCTTACCACTGGAGATCTGACAGCGGCCGCACTTGTCAAGCTCTGAAGACCTATATTTTCAAGGTTCTGAACCCTACCTGTCTGTCCCAGACTCAAAGTGATAAGGGCATGTAAGCCTACCTGCATTCTGACGACGGGGTCCTGGGCCTGGTCAGCCTTCTCCAGGAGCCAGGCATACTCCATGTACTCTGCCATACGCTGCAGGAAGGATAGGGGCTCGTTGAACACCACCGGCATGGTGATCTTGGAGAGTTCTTTCCCAATACACTGCTTCAGCACCGACCATAGCGAGAAGTCGTTGCGCTGGAACTGCTCAGCAGGCAGGCTGGTCCTGAAAGGGCAAGAGATAATACACTTAAGTGATGGAATAACTGCTGCTGATATCGGGAGAGGTGTTAGGTGAAGCGGCTGTGATATGGTCGAGACGGAGATGCAGGCTGAAGATCTGAGAGGAGATAAGGACGGGTGTGGGAGATGGACAGGTGATAGAAGCTCTTAACTGACGATAAGAGTCTCTGAAAGCAGGTGATGCCAGAGGAGATTTGCTGCGAATGACAGCGTAAGAATGGTTTATAAATCTCTCGCCTGCCTCGTGTGTGTGTGTGTGTGTATTCACCTAGTTGTGTTTGTAGGGGTTGAGCTTTGCTCTTTCGGCCCGCCTCTCAACTGTCAATACACAATGTCAATACAGGCCCCAGATGAGATACTAACTACTTTTTTTTCCAACACCACACTCACACACAGGCACGCTCCGGGGACCCCCAGGCACGCTCCGGGGACCCCGGGGCACGCTCCGGGGACCCCGGGGCACGCTCCGGGGACCCCGGGGCACGCTCCGGGGACCCCGGGACACGCTCCGGGGACCCCCAGGCACGCTCCGGGGACCCCGGGACACGCTCCGGGGACCCCGGGGCACGCTCCGGGGACCCCGGGGCACGCTCCGGGGACCTTGAAACAGATCAAGGAGAGCGCCACAGGAGGCAATACCGGCAACCAAGGAGCCAATTTACATTCCCAGGAAACAATACCACCACCGTCGCGACCCGGCTCTGAAGGTGCTGGGAATCCCTGCCACTCAGGACCTGATCCCAGGACCTGAATATAGAATTCTCAGTCTCCATTACGTCCTCCAAGCAAAGAATCTCCCATGTCAACAACTGGCTTTAAGCAGTAGTGTCGGTCTGTGTGTACCAGACTGTTAATCCCTCGTATCCCTGGCATGCTGGGACCATCAGGAAGCTACGGCCCTGACTGGCACGGTCACTGAGTGTGGTCATTCAGAACACCATTCAAGAGATTCAACCGTAGAACTGAGACGGACACGCGCGTCTAGTTATACCTCAGGCTAGCCCACACCTGCCAGCCAAGGTTCGAAGCCAGAGTGCAGGCCCCAGATGAAGCCAGAGTGCAGGCCCCAGATGAAGCCAGAGTGCAGGCCCCAGATGAAGCCAGAGTGCAGGCCCCAGATGAAGCCAGAGTGCAGGCCCCAGATGAAGCCAGAGTGCAGGCCCCAGATGAAGCCAGAGTGCAGGCCCCAGATGAAGCCAGAGTGCAGGCCCCAGATGAAGCCAGAGTGCAGGCCCCAGATGAAGCCAGAGTGCAGGCCCCAGATGAAGCCAGAGTGCAGGCCCCAGATGAAGCCAGAGTGCAGGCCCCAGATGAAGCCAGAGTGCAGGCCCCAGATGAAGCCAGAGTGCAGGCCCCAGATGAAGCCAGAGTGCAGGCCCCAGATGAAGCCAGAGTGCAGGCCCCAGATGAAGCCAGAGTGCAGGCCCCAGATGAAGCCAGAGTGCAGGCCCCAGATGAAGCCAGAGTACAGGCCCCCAGATGAAGCCAGAGTGCAGGCGCCGTACTGTGTCTGGTGTGTGGAGACTTGTGGGCACTTGACCAACCACCGGTAAACACGTTTGTCTGACTGTACCGTTCCGTAATTATACGTATAGCGGTTCACCAAGCTGTTTGTTCCACCCGGCTGTGAATGAGCGATGAATTGATTAAGGGGAGCCAGGGACCAAGCTCCAGAGAGGAGAGGTGGCGAGGGGCACCAGGCTCAGGCGGTGGCCACACTTGCCATTCAGGTCCCCCCTCACCACACACTACGATGAAGCTTTAACTACACCCCCCTTCCCTTCCCTTCCCTTCCATGACCCATCCCACCCCTAACCTTACCCCACACCACCTCCCCTCCTCACCCAGCAATAACCAACGCTGAACAACGAGGCGTTGTTTACCATACTAGATTAAAAAGAAAGCAATATGGAAGCTTTACAAATTGACTAAAAATTGGCACGATGTAAACCCAGTATATGAACTCTCCGGTGCTCTTCCGGCTAATACTTAGTCTTCAGTGAAGGGCGAGAAGTTATGTACATAGTAAAGTTGAATTAGCAGCCAGCTGGGCCACTCTCCCTGATTGCACAATGCAACATTTCAATTACTTGCAATTAAAGTTGGTTTACAGCATGTGGGAGCCGCTGCGTGTTACCTTGGCTGTATAGTGTTGAGACCGGTGGACAGGTGGCCCAGTACCTTCAGGAGCCGTGGATAGGTGGCCAAGTACCTTCAGGAGCGGTGGACAGGTGGCCCAGTACCAGGGGGAGTAGTGTGCCTGGGGGACAGGGGGTGAGCAAGATGCCTGGGGGAGAGGGGGAAGCAGGGCGCCTGGGGGGAGAGGAGGGAGCAAGATGCCTGGGGAAGAGGGGGGAGCAGGGCACCTGGGGGAAAGGGGGGCGAGTAGTGTGCCCGGGGGAGAGGGGGAAAGCAAGATGCCTGGGGGAGAGGGGGGAGAGGGGAAAATATTACATATTTATATTTCCTATTCTTCTCCCTTTTTCTTACATTTTACCTTCCTTTATTTTAAATGATTATTCAGCTCTTTCCCTTCTCTTTTGCTCTTTCCCGTCTCTCTCTCTCGTTCTTTCCCTTCCCTTCCCTCTCGTTCTTTTCCTTTCCTTCCCTCTCGTTCTCTCTCTCTCCTTTCCCCTCTCTCTCTCTCTCTCTCTCTCTCTCTCTCTCTCTCGTCTTTCTCTTCTCTGTGTCTCTCATCCTTCCCTCCTATTTCGTTCTTTCCCATCTCACTCGTTCATTCCCTTCATTCTTGTTCTTTCCTTTTTCTTTCTGTTACTTGCTCCAAACCTTGCATCTCACTTTCTTGCCTCATTTATTTGTCTCTTCCCCACACTATTACTCTCCTTCATAATGGTCCAGGATGGAACAAAACGTCGTTCCTTCATTTTCTCATGTGTGGTTTTGTCATCTTTTCTTTGTCTGGAGTTGCTCTCGTCAACACTTTTTCCTCCTTGAAAGCCTTCTTAGCTCGGTGTGTGGAGAAGGCGTCGGCGTCCTTCATTACTGCCAACTGAATGCCTTTCCACTACAAAAATTCCCCGCGCCTCAGGATTTCCTCCCCCACGCAAAACTCTCATTGCTTAAATAATAACTGTCCAACAAACATATTTTCAAGCAAAACCTTCGAAATGCTACATTATTTTAATAGTGCGTCACATTTAAACTTTATTCATTTAAATTGTTTTACACGATTATAGGAAAACGGTGGCAAGCTGAACTTTTTTTTTTGTATGCTCCTGCAAATTTTTGTGGAACTCCATTTTGCACAGGACCCTGGATAGGAATCCCTGCACTGATGTGTGCAAGATGGTTATCCTGCTCTTCAGACGTTGCTCCATCACACGTGGACAGTAACATCTGTGACTAATGACTTCATTCAAGGTGCAGTCTCGAAAATCAGGAGCATCAGCCATATAATCTATGTTAAAGCGTCCTTGTCCATGCTTGTTTGCCAAACACTTAAAAGTAAAACAAATCTTTACATAACATCGGAGACATTGCAGCTTCAACTTCGCTTGTAGAGATATTGGGTACACGTGCTCTCAATGCTTACAGTAACGTTTGAGATCAGGGAAAGCTCCAGGGACAAGCTGCAGCTATGAACAGATCCCCGATTCGCTACAAACTCAAACAAAAGTGAGAGGATAACATCCGAGCACCGCCTGATGCATCCAGGCAGCCTGCTGGGTCCAGGCTCCCAACCTTACCACCAGGGGTATTATCGGCGTCCTTCGCTGGTGCGGCGGGTATATACATCGTCTGGCTCCCACATCACATCCAGAAGGGCAGCTTCTCACTCGACTTTTTATTTTATTTATAAAATACAAACAAATCACAAATATAAGCATAAAAGAAGAGAGACTGGAGCACCACACAACATTTACAACAGGAAAAGCCAGGGCAACTGAAATACATATACAGAAACAACACTAAATAAACATAACTCAACAGAAACACTAACCCCAACACGTCGGAACGAGCTTAGGAAGACGCATATTTATCCGGAAACAGATGCTGAGGATACTTGAAACAAAACTGTTCTGACACATCCCGCTCCTCCAGAAGTGGACAGCCCACTAGACGGTAACCAGGGAGAAGGGGACATACAAAATCCGGAATGACGAAGGTCTGGACGAGGACCCTCGGCATGGGGTCCAGCAGCACGGAGTCCTTCCAGACGGCATCCTTCTTCAGCATTAGAATTAGATCATGGCTCGCACCATCGCTGACAGCAGGGGCAACAACCCCCTATTGTGGCGAACCTGGACACAGGGGTACGTGGGAGGGGCACAGGAGCAGGCACAGAGACCCCCCACACCAGCCACTAACCCCGGGACAGAGGCACTTGCCACCATCACGCCCGTAACATGAACAGGCACCGCAAGAGTCACAGTCCTACCACCACCACACATCTGGAACGCTTCGACAGCGGGCACGTGTCGTTAGAACTGTCGACCTCCACCAGCGGCGCCGCAGCAGGCCCATCGGGCGGCCACGCACGCATCACACAGTCATGTAACACTGCAGCCGCCTCTACCGCCAAGAAAGGATCGTTATCGGGAAGGTGAAGGCGAGTGAAAAAATCTAAGGGACAAGATTCAAAAAGGGACTTACGAGTAAGGAAAGAAGAAGGAAGATGAGAACTGGATCTAACAGTCGAAAAGAACCCCGTTCGGTCGCGACCGACACTGGATTCACCACAACAGAACCACGGAGATGAAAGATTGGCGAAACATCTGAGAAAAACTTACCTGCTATTTTGTGGATTTTCTTCTGGATCATAAGCGGAAGTGTCAGATGTAATGGTGAAAACGAAAGATATCCATACTTAGCTGTACGGATGGCCCTACGGGCCACCGCACTCGCCTTCCAAAACAAAATAAAAGAATCTTTCGTCCGTTGGCGGCGGTGTTACTTCCAGGCTGCACGCTTACAGCGGACAGCCCGAACACAGTCTGCATTCCACCAGGGAATGCACTTCAG